TCCTAAATGTTACACACCGCACCTTTAAAGTTGCAGCTGGTAAAGGGGGGTAAATGTAACTATTATATAATGAAGTAATGGTTAATTGTTATTTCAATCCACAAAGTAGCTAAAGTTATCAAACAAATGTAGTGAACTTAAGTACAGTACCACTATTTGACACCCAGCAGATTAAAAGGACACCATAAAGCCACAGACAGGTAGCAGTATTACAGGGCTGCTGTAAAGGTGAGCTGTCTATTACCAGGAAATAGATTTTTACCGCTGTCGGGTGTCTCTCCGCATTTAGGACTTGAGGTTGTAAAAGCCCGAAACAGTGAGCTAAAAGTCGGGTAAGACCTGTGGTTCACTTCCGTAACAACCTGGCACAAACTCCGAGACAGCACAAAGGACAGCATTGTGAAGACAAGTGCGCAGTGAGGACTACTGAGGAGGGAAACCATCCCGCAATGTGTTTACAATGTACACTCTTCTTCTTCGCCTCCTCCTTTCTCCTTCACTGGATGCTGCATTTGGCGCCATCCTCAGGTTGGAAAAAGGTTTCTGATTAATGCTGAGTCAGGATAAGTTGAAAGACAGGTTTTTTGTTTGTTTGTTTGTTTGTTTGTTTGTGTTGGAAACCAAAACCAAGAGCGTGTAACCTGCCAGAACTCACTAAAGAGAAGAGATTATTTAATCATTTTTCTGTATATAATTAAATTAGGCCACATGCTTTAATTATATGCACTTTGATTGTGTTACATTGCAATATGAAGTTTGTTTTATTCATTTCCTTATATACTTTTGTAGAATAAAATTTTGTAAATCTTTATTCCAGCTATATATGCTAAAATACTAATTTTTAAAATACTAAAATCTTTCATTAATTAAATTTTAAAAAATCATTTGATTTTTAATGATCGCAGTATCTGCAGGTGTTCAACATTAAACCCAGTCCTTCATTCAGAATCACCAGAATCAAAATGTAAAATACCTGTTTTCAGTGTTAAAGGACCGAAAACCCAACACTTCCTGCGTTAAGGTGATTATACACTATTGAAAACATGTTACACACTGGACCTTTAAATCAGCCTATTTTCTGCTCTTTACTTATATATATTACCATATTACCATACCATATATACACCATATTATTATGAAAAATGCCTTCAAATATCATCCAGTCACTTTGCCAAAAACCGAAGAAACACCTGAATATTGTTATCAACCTGTTAACGTCTTGTAAAGCTCTGAAGTTTCATTAAGTGTTAGGCTATCACACATTCTGGCGCCGGAAATATCAGAATATCCGAAAGCTTTGTTAACACTGCTTGCAGGTGTTTGACAGCTGTTTAATTTCCTGCAAACTTTTACTATTTTAGAAACAAATCTCATTTTTTTTAGCAGCCTGAGATTTGCTGGAAGAGTGGCCTTGGAGTTTTGTTTCCTAGCTTAAGGCCAGTTTGAGTAAGAACAACCTCTGTGGATTTCCAGCTCCTATCAGCTGGGACTGAAGTTGGGCAACAGACTTCTCAAAATATCCTGAGGGCTTCAGCTTGTACAATTTTCTTTTTCTATGCAAAGTCAGTTTTTCATCAAACAAATCCCACTGACTTCTAGATGATGAAACTCTGTGTGCAAGCGGTCTTCTAATCCCACGTTTCTGCTTTAAGATCTTCAAACTGTAACTAATATGGTAGATAATACATCAACCTCTCTCCTCTCACCCAGGGAGCTTCTCAAGGGAGTTTGTTCACTGTAAAATCCTGATACATGCACTTGTTTTCTTTTCTGGCTCCATTTCTTTTGGCCTATTTTAAATCAGAAATACAAAGAATATGTGTTTTTCCCATTCAGTTGACAATCTGTGTGTGAGTTATTACATTCCCAGTCTCCAGATTCGTCTCGGTCAGTGGGTTAGGGCTACCATCCACCACCCGCCAAGTGGGGGAATAATGCATATAGCTTAACATATTGCTCCCCAGGGGCAGATCTGCCCCATGATGGAATAATTCAGCTATTGTGAAGGAATATTATTTGGTGCTGCCTCATTATCCCTGCTGAACTTTACGCTCGTTAAAGCACCACTTCACCGACCCTTGAGATATCCATCCTCCTTATTACTGCAGCAACCACCGACATAGTCTTCACACACGGATCAGCTTTATTTCTAACAGCCTGGATACTTTAACGTCAAAACTGTCAGTGCTAATGTATCATATGCCTGCCACACAATATGTAATTTCACACATCTCTCTTTGGTGTCTGCTTCCATGAAAACCCTGCTTCATTCTCACCATGAGTTTCTTGAAGAGCGAACAGAATCAAACCAAACAGGCCACATTGACATTGACTAAAGTTCTGGCTCCAAACTCTCCTGAATTAAGCAAAAACGAGAAATACTAACAAGACTAGAGAGTCTTGAGCCACACTCAGACTTTAACTAGGCAGTTGTTTGACAGCTAACGTCAGAATGCTAACATGCTCACAATAACAACATGCTGATGTTTAGCACCATCTTAGTTTAGTGTGTTAGCATGTTAACATTTGCTAAACACAAATTACAGCTCAGAATGCCATTAGTTTTTCAAGTATTTACTAATAAAATGCCTCCAGGATTTTGCAGGGTTTTTTTGGGGCATTGTTGCGGCCTAAAATGGCTGATTTCACAGAAGCTTTTCTAAAATATTACAATGCATGTTGCAAGGTTTTTAGACATGGCAGCAGATTTTTTTTTCTGCAATTAAATTGTAATGTAATATTTTATTTTGTGATATCTTGTATCTCCACTTCTGTCTTTCTTTTGCACTACATTGCCCTATGCTGCTGTGTCAATTTTGAATGTTTCCTGAGGCGGATCAATAAGGGAACATCTTATCTTATTGTGGGAGAATGTGAAAATTGCAAAATCTATAATTCATTAAATACTGAAGGCAACTTGTATATTAAACAATAACATTGCTAGTAGTTTGGTGACGTAAGGCTCAACATTTTGCTCAGGAAACACAGAAATCAGAGGGAATTGGTTGAGTTAATTGTACTGGAGGGACTGTTGAACCAAAGTATTGGAAAAATTAAAATTTTACATGATGGTGACACTAGAGAAGAAGTCAAGGGTTCACACAAGTCATTATATTGTATTCTGTAGAGCAATGGTTCCCAACCTGGGGGTCGGGACCCTGACTAGGGCTCACCAAAGCTTCACGGGGGTCATGAGGCCTTATTGATTTAAAGGGTGTAAGAAAACTTTACAAATATATAATAAAATATATAATATATTAAAAAAGTAAGCAGTTATAACAACAAAAGAGTTAATAGAAAAAGTGTCAGAAGGAGGAAAACACTGAATTTGTCAAAAGGAAAGCCTATTAAGTCTTTATGATTGTTAAAAAATAAATACAAACATAATACAGACAGAAAAATATCATGAAAACTAATTTCTGATCAATATTGACAGGAAATAATCTGCTCAAAATTCATCCAAATCCCTTGTTTTACACAAACTTGCTGCAGTTATTGTGTTCACTGTTTACAGTTTCAGTTGTAATGCACCAAATAATATGAAATATCCATAAAATATGTAATTTACTTTTAGGTTTAGTCAATAATAGAAAAGGGTCCCTTAAGGAAAAGTGATGGAAACCACTGCTGTAGAGACACTGATGGATCTCTCTTACTGCTCCTATTTGTCCAGCAGATGTCCTCATTGCTTTAGTCTCCATCATGTGTTGGTCAGGGTAGTCAGCCTTCCTTAATTCATTAATTCACCTGTGTGCATGAGGCTGAATTGGTTGGTGTGACTTTATGCACAGTGGACAGGTCTCACCCTCGACCTCGAGTGTAAGATTGAATTAACGTCTCTAGAAGTGGAAAGCCGGGTTACTTGATGGGGATATTGTATGGCCTCTAAGCCAGGGGTGGGCGTTAAGATGAGTATGTATGAATAGCAATGTATGAATTTATTATTATGAATGCCATTGTACACATGCTATAGACCTCTGGGAACAGAGTCATGCGTAATGTTAGGTAGTTGTACTGAAAAGGATTGAAGGCTCTGTGCAGGCCTGTCAGTGTACACAAATCTCTACGTTGTACTTGAATATAGTGATTGAGATAAGACAGATAAACTAAACCCTTATTAACCTTTAGGTTGAACCACTACTTCTGAGTGATTTACAGCCTGTCAAAGCTGTAGTTTAGAGAGGAATTTGTAATCTAACCCTCATCCTAGGAACTTAACCTGTTCAACGAATGTGTGAATGTCTTTAAAACCATAACTGGACTTTAGAGAGAGTTTTTAATCCTGATGGACTGTTGAAGACTGTTTATTTTTGGGAGCTTTGCTGCACAGCAGAAATAAAAGGAGGAAATAGAAGAAAGAAGCTTATGAAGCTGTTTGTTTGCTGTATGACTCATCCTTTGGTCCTAAACGGGTTTCCACAAGGTTTTCCAGTCCAGTCACTCCCTCAGCTATGTGTTGGTAGTCAGCTGTCACAACCAAAGACAGCCTCGCCTCGGACCAGCCCACATCGTCTGATGAAGAGGGTGGAAAAAAAGACACATATTGAAACACATTTTAACAATATTCCTCTAGCATACTTTAAACGAGTTAAACTGGAAATATAAACATTAATTATATAGTTGTTTACACCTCAGATACTCTATTTGTTTTTTTAGTCGGTTTGTGAAATCGCTTTTAAACTCGACCCCCCCCCTACGCCAGTGGTATAATCCAAAACACAGAGTCATATGGTTTCCCGACTGAACCTGAACGCCTCACTGACTGAACGGACTCGATCGGCTTGTTTCGTCTTTTTTTTGTTGCTGATTTTAAGCCTAAAATCTGTCACAATGTCGGTAATGTGTGGAGGCTCATCCGCGCCGATGGAAGCGGACGACAAAATCCACAAGATCTGTGAGACCGTGAGTAGAAAAGAGTAGTATAAGAGTATTATAATACCCTGTCTGTGTTCCCTGAACCCGTCCATGCACAGTAAACAGGGCCCTTGTTTCATTTTAATGTTGTTGTGACCTCATTGTTTCTCAGGTAAAGCCCCATGCAGAGCAGAAAGCAGGGAAGACTTTCGACGTTTTCACAGCCAAGAGCTACACAAGGCAGGTTGTGGCCGGGACCAACTACTTCATTAAGGTAAATTATTATTTAGCACACACAGCAAAACCTCCTTACTGCACAGATCTGTTACTGGAAACCACATGTGCTCTGTAATGCACTCCAGCTGGACCAGTGGATGAAAGGGGAGCAGTGCAAGTCAACTCAGTCTTTATGAAGGTTGATAGCCACTTTTGGCCCATAGTTTTGGTCAATGCTCTTGGCTCTTGGTATCATTTTGGACTTCAGCAGGTGAAACCAAACCACGGTGGTGCACATATTGGAGCATTAACCAGGAACCAGGTTGTTTAGTCTCAGGAGCCCAAAACAGAGCTAGAGGAGAGTAAATATTGGACTTAAACAAGGGAAAAGGTTGAGAAAACTCTTTAATTTAATTCAAGTTTTGGTTTTAACTGTCCAAGTTTGAGGAACTTATTATTTTACTTTGTCACAACTTGTTAACTTACTCAAATCTGCATCTCAGTCTATAATACTGGAACCACTTATGGGCTGGTTCTTCAGTATTTCTATACTGGCAGCACTGATGACCCACAGCAGGGAGTGTATACCATCATATATCTCCATCACTGTTTTAAGACCGTGTAATAATAAAAATAGAAATGCACAACGGCCTCCATCTTGTAACTTTCTGTAGAATTATTCCTGTAATGCACGCAGTGAACTTTATGTTAGGTTTCTATGTGACTTAACTTGATGAGTTAGGCAAACAATCATTTGGAGCTTTTTGCCGACTCATTCACTCACAATTATACATTCTGAAAGTGATAATTAGACAATTTTCAACTTGATATTGACAAAAGTATGTAATTACACATAATTAACTGTGAAATTGTGTTTTCTGCTTCTCACATTTAAAGAACTCAAGTTAACAGAACTTTCTTACTTCAATGAATTAGCGTTTGGAGAAAAAAAACAACCTTTTTATGTAGGTAAAACTAGACATTTCTATATAGTTAAATGTATATTTTAACCTACCTTTTTATTCAGCTTTGTTGCCATTGTTTTAGCTGCATGTCTACTTCTCTAATTCTGACTTCCTGTAAATTGTTCTGTATGTAAATAGAGCAACTTCAACCTGGAGTCAGATGAATCAGACTCTCACTTATGTTTAAAGCAAAAAACTGGCTTGATGTACTTACATTTTTAAGTCCTAAGATCTGTTATTTAAGCATCTTCTGGATGTGTCAATAAACAACCGCTTGCTAACAACAAATCAGTGGTGCATTTAAAGCTTGTTTCCACTGCCTCTTACGTTTTAAAGATCTCCTGAAACTTTACTTTTACTTTGCTGCAGGTCCACGTGGGAGGAGACGATCACGTTCACCTTCGTGTTTATGAAAAACTCCCGTGTCATGGAGGAGATCTCGAGCTGAGTAATATGCAGCAGTCCAAGAGCCACCAAGACCCGATTGAGTACTTCTAATGGGATCCCAAACCAAGCAAAGCTTCAGTGCCTACAGTCTGCCATTCCATTATAGCCAGTTATTATCAGATAATCCTGACTCATTAAATAAAACATTGTTCATATTTCTAACATGTAATAGCATACTGTCTTCGTACTTTAGATCATGATGTTTACAGTGTGTCACATGGGAACTATTTTGTACAAGATGAAATAATAAATGAATCAGATTTGTCGTGATTCGACATGTTGCTTCTCTCTCTGTGGTGTCTGATTTGTGAAATACCTGCAGCTCAGGGTGTATGTGTTCAGCACATGGTATGAAGAAAAAGGGTTGGGCAAACATATCTGTAGTTACAGACGCTAAGAAGACAAACAGAAGTCTTTTCATTGTATCACTCATTCATGACAGCTGTGGACATTGCTCGAGGTTCTTGATTGATTTTATGGATCATTACTCTCACATATACTCCAACTACAACGCATTTCCAGGGAACCAACATGCACAGAAGCATCAACCTGATTTAGTTTGACCTGAAGGGGAAAAAAAACCTAAATAGTGTCACTGGTAACAGCTGAGTTTACCCTATTTAATGTCAAAATGCCTGCTGTGAAAAAGGTCTATTATGTCCTGACCAGAGTTAGTTTGTGGTCAGCATTGAGTACGGAATTACAGGAAAGAGGAGGCTAAAAAAAGGTATGAGCTGGACTAATCTAACTCTCCAGCACTCATGATGTTTCGCTCCTGATGAGCAAGCAACTTGGCAGCCTCTGCTATCAGTCAGTGTATGAATGTGTGACAAAGGCGCTTTGAGTAGTCGGTACACCAGACAAAGGCTGCATAAAAACAAGTCCATTTACCATTCACACAGGCTTTATACAAAGCAAAAGGCAAAGGGAATTCTGGGTTGCACTTTTACACAGTTTTACCAAAAAGGGGAGCGGCTGAGATTCTTGTTGGGTTCACATGACTGTGACTCAGGGCTCAAAACATCACCCACAGAGATCAAAAAGTAAAATAGTTTCTTCTCAACACATAAAGCTAGAAGGGCAAATAACTATAAAGCAGGATACATAGAGACAATATCAAAATAAAAATATTATCTTCTTCACCTTCACAAGTCTAAAAGTCTTCAGTAAAGTTTATTTTTCCTTTTATTTCAGTTAAACTTCCTCAAAACATGTTGGTTGTTAAGCATTACCAACAATGAATCCAAGCAGCATACTGAACAGAAAAGAAAGAAAAATAAACAAAACAAAAAAACAAACAAAACATCTCAAATATAGGTTAAATTAAATTAACTTAAAGGGGATTTAATCAATATATAATGCAAGTAATTCAGAGAGTCTTAAGGCATTTCTCTTTTCCAGTTATTTTAAGGATTTAAAGAAGATTTTCAAGTCATTTATAAATGCTACAAAGTTCGGAGCAACTTTAGTGCTGTGAAACAAGATAGAAGATCTATAAACTGTCACAAGGGTTAAAAAACCTGAAGCTGATCGATCCTGTAGGAACTCTGTCAGTCAATAACTGAGCCTTTGACCTCTGACTTTCTGCCAATAGATCAAGTTTACCTTTTTTTCTTGTAGGTTCCAGAAGAAAACATCTGTATTTATCGAGAAACAACCACAATCTGATCTGATTAATGTTTCCAAAGTCTTGACTGGTCACTAAAGGTCAGCTGCACAGAGATCTGTGGCAGGAAAACTCACTTATGTTCCTTTAAATCTCACTGTCTTATGACTCACTTTTATTTTATGGTTTTCTATTAACTGATGCTATTTGTTGTAACAATTTTAATTATTTTAGTCTGTTTTATATGTTATGTTTTGGATTTTATGTACTTTTATTATTTGTTTATATCGTAACACACTTGTTTTCAAAGGATCTATATAAAAAGTTATTATTATTTCTGCCTTAAAACATTTAGTTTGATATTTTATACCTCCATACCTGTCACAAAACTTGCAGTAATAATAGCAATAATGTGAACAAGGAACATTTGAATAAACAAAGAGTTTGCTTGTTCATTCATCCACAGTTTAAAATATGAACATGTGTGATTTTTGTATATACAGTGAGATGTGAAAAACACCCAACTTTCAACACATCTGCATGAGTCACATACAGTATATAAGTTAGTTTGGTTTGAACAAAAACACATTGTGTAAACTAAGCACACACTTATGAATCACACCCACTGCACACGAGGTGAACCATGACGGTGACTGATCAGTGGGGTATGGAGAGCTGCTGGATTTTTTAATGGTATGAATATGTTAACTTATAATCTTTTTAGGAATACAAAGAAAGTGCAGTTTGAATTCACAAGGCAATTATTGATGCATTTAACAGTTTAATTACTTTGAAGGCATTTTAATCTGTTCATACACTTGTTTTAAAGGTATATCACCCTCTTTTCTTAACCAGGGTTGAAGTCTATAATTTGTTCTGCTCCCAGGTGTTACAGGGAGTGTATATCTATCTCACATAATCACACATCTATCTCAACTGTTGGCTTAAGCTTAAACTGCCTCTACGGCTTTGGGGCTCTATTTTCTGATAAATCCATCAACTTTTCTGGAAGAACAATGGAAATAAACAACAACAACTCAATCCTCATAATCTGATTAAACACAGGTCTGTGAAACAACTGATTGAAGCACTCGTCCTAAGCCAAACCAAGTCCTGCAAACTGCTTGGTCAGGGATGTTAAAACTGATGACTGAGTGCTAGGATGTGGAACGGTTTCTACGGTTTTTAAGTTTCCCTTTTTTTGGTTTGCACGTGTGGTTGCTTGATTTGTGTTTTTGTTTGTTTTTAAATGTACAAAATTAATATGTGTTTGAACATCCCCATTAGTATGTTTATGTTCTTGTACAGTTGCTTTAAAGTGGTGAGTTGCTGTTTTCTTACTGTGTGTCTATGTTACTGTTCCGAGTCTAGCAGAATCAATGCCTAATGCTCACTTCTTTATGAATTACTTTTTCTTCTGTGGCACACCATAAAAGGCCATTATATTTCTCACTGTTATAAGTGTGGTATATCCCTGCACAAATACCAATAAAAAACGAATATATAAAAACCGATGTGATGTACTGTAGGAGGTTTGAACGGATGAAAAACGTGGTCTTTGCTCCTGAACCTAGTTATAAAACTTCATTTATTAAGATCCATGATTCTTGTTTACATTAACAGATTAAATAAGTTTATTAGATGTTTGGCCCTGCAGTTCTTTGCTCCTATCGTAGCTCTCTGGTGTTAACTTTGAAAACTCACATTATTTTGTTGCAGTGTTCATAAATGTGACACATCTTCTTTTAAACTCTTGTTCCATGAAGTTCTCACATGGTCTGTTTGTTTGTTTTTTGCTCTGGGATTCCTACAAATTACTTATAGAAGGAAATAATGATGAATTTAAATGAAATGCTGAGTATAGTGAAACTTATAAAGGGAAAATATACTCACACAAGACATTTTGATTCTTTATTGGGCAAACCGGAACATTTAATATTTAGACTTATATCAATATTCTTTAAGTTGAGCTTTAAAATCTCAGTGCACTATTTTCCAAATATGTTACTTTAGTATCTATAATTAAAGTACATTTCTTATCTGCTCCAAAAAGTGTGAATAACTAAACTTAACTTATTCAAGAACTATAGAAATAATGTTCATTCCTCTATATTTTGTGCCTAACCCACCTGCAGTTTTCTTGGCATTTGGCTTCCTCTGGTGTTAAGAGCAGTAATTACATTAGTGCTCTCCTGATTGGGCTCTTTCTGAGGACTTAAACATTTTCACTGTTTTCCTCAACTGTTATAAGATGAGCTGTGTTTGATCATACCTGCCTTGACAGCTGACATAGTTTGGGATAGGCTTTGATTGATCTTTTGTCAATCAATTTCTTTTAATTATTCATTTTTAAATCTGATTTATCCTTCATTGTGTGTTACATTACATTACATGTCTTAGATTGTCACTAGGTGGCAGTGTTTCTACATTTGTTTGATGTTCTAAAACACTAATATGAGTTGTTTTAAGCATGTTTATATTTGTTTACATTTTGGCAAATTAACATTATTAAACGTATGATGAATTAGGTATTAGCAGTTACAGTTACAGACAACCATCACTGGATTACTTTGCTACTGAAGTAAACTATTTATAGGCCTACATCTGAGCACTAGATGGAGCATGAGTACTGTCTATTATTTTAGTGTTATACAGTCCTGGTCCATGCTTGAGGTGGATTTTTAATTACATGAAACATAACATTTTTTCATTTTAACCTGGAAGGTATGGAAGACTTACTGTAGGCACCGATAGGAGAAAATGTTGAAACTAGCAGTGGTGGAAGAAATAATCTCAACCTTTCCTTCAGTAAAAGAACTCAAATACCACAGTCTGAAAATGCTCCACTACAAACAGATTATACAACAATATCTTTCTTGTCGGAGCCTAAACTTTTAAACATGTGTAGTGTGTGGTCCTGTGGATTTTAGAGCATCAAGCTAAGGCTTAATTCAACCTACAATCTAGTATTATCAGCCAAATTTACCTAAAGTATCAAAAGTGTTTTACAATTTAGTGCGATGTATTTGGATATAATATTACTGATGCAAGTATCTTGCTATATTTTAACTACTTATATACTGTTGAGAAGTTTAATCTACAGCAATGCTTCATATTTCGCATCTCGATACAGTCACCTTTTCATGAGTTCAGAAAAACATTTTCCAGCTAATCCAAAAAGGGTTTTTTAGATTAAAATTAAAATTTAATTTAATTATTTTAAGAATTTCAACCCATAAATGAACACTTAATCCTTTTTAGTTTCAGTTTCCAGTTTATCACAAGCATTCAAAATCTGTTTGGAGATACATCATTTTTACTGGACAGAAAGGGTATAAAACATTAATCTGTAAGTAGTAACTAAAGCTGAAAAAGTATAAATATTTGTCGAGGAAATAATAGTTTTTTTCTTATTTAAATGAATGTACTACATGTAGATCTCTTTTGGGTCAAAATATCACCTTGAAAATGAATATAGTGGACAAAAATGCCAATCCAGGAACAACAAAAAAAACAAATTTTTAGCATTTAAGCTGCATAAAGATACATTAAACTTAATAAACCTTCCCATATTAAAGATACCGTATGTGATATTCTTCTGTGTTTCAAAGCCATATTCTATATCCGTATTTAATATCTGCTGTTGTGTACGTACACGTCATGTTACACTGGCTACACAATTCACACACATGTACCACCACAACAATGGCCGACTCTTCAGTGAATTCCTCCTTGTTGAACTTTGTCCACTATGGTTTCCCATCAATTCTTTTCATGTTGGAACTATACTGACGAGAAATTCCCCCGCATTATTGATGAACTCTCTTTAAATATATTTTTGGGAGGTTTTTATGCCTTTTTTTTTGATAGGACAGGTGAAGATAGACAGGAAAGGAGGAGACAGAGAGACAAAGAGAGAGGGGGGACCACATGCAGGAAATGGCCGCAAGTTGGAATCGAACCCTTGCTGCTGCAGTAAGGACTCAGCCAAGTGAGCTACACTGCGCACCACTGTTGATAATTTGAACAACTGCTGTGGGGGATGATTCCTATAGGTGACACATTTCTGCAGTAAAAAGGAGTGTTACAAAATATACATACTAAATGAGGAAGTTCAGCGACCTCCAAGTGTCCTGACCTCCTTGTACTTGAGATTAAACAAGCTGTCTGACCCATAATGCAGATACCTGAACATATGAACAACTATAACTGATCAAGTTATTATTGTAACGACTGACTGATTGTGTGCCAGGCACAGACTGGTCTCCATCATTACTGACATGAAACTCGTTTTTACCAGAAGAGTAAAGAAGCCCTGATTTTATTTGGACACACTTTGCATCAAAGTGCTGAAAATCTGCATTATTATAAGTTAGATCAAAAAGTTAGATGAAGTATAAAAATTTCAAGTTTTATGGGGTGTTATGTGATGCAGTGACTTCCTAAAGTCTCACTTTTTATGACAAGACTCAAAATATTCACTGCGAGTTGAATCTGATGAGCTCTATATTAATCTCTTTTAGCTTTATTTTCTCCACCAACTCCTGAGGAAAATATCCGGCTCGTTAGCTGCTAAATGCTTCACTATGTTCACCAATGAGTGTAAATGCTCCACAGAGTACAGTGATAATTCTCTGTATGTTTGTCACTTGTCACATCCTCTTGTTTGATCATTTGTTATCTTATAAAAGTATTGATTATAGCTGCTTTAAAGATGCACCAGATGATCAGAGTTTGAATTACACAATCTGAAACGGACAGTTTTTGGGGAGTGTCAGTGAAACTTGGAATTTGGGGAGTAAGGATGAGCAACGCTTATGACACATGTACTGCAGCTCCACCCAGAATGTCACATTTTAGAGCCACCTTCCAGTCAGTATCCAGGAGTAGTTACACAGTATAAATATAGTTGAGAACCAGCTGAGAATCAACAGTTGAGACTAAAAGCAGACGTTAACTTCTCTGTTAAATTCAACGGACATTGTGACAATGGCTGACGGTTTGCCTGGAGCATGGTCTGATCCAAGGGAGCCTGACGGAGTTCAGGAGATTTGTGATCAGGTGAGCTTCAGAGCTTCTTTACAACCTCTAAACACAACTCTGCATGTGATCTGTGTTTCAGTCTGGATTAACATCACATTTTATTTCATTCATACAGGTGAAGCCCCACGTGGAGGAAAAGACAAATAAGATATATGTGGAATTCAGAGTAGTTGAATTCAGGAAGCAGATTGTGGCTGGAACAAACTTCCTCATCAAGGTAATTACTATTGTGATTATTTATTTTAAAGAAAGCCTCAGATATATGGACTGAATTGTGATGTGCAGGTGAGTCATTAAACACTGCTCCTCACTGCTCAACAACACAAGATCAAGATTAATTTATTTCTAAGTCTAAATTTCCTCTTTTTCCTGCAGGCTTATGTTGGAGGAGAAAACTACATCCATCTGTTTGTCTTATGGGCACTTCCATCTAATGGAGGTGGGATCATGGTGCTCAATGTAGTGGAGGACAAAACCAAAGACGACCCCCTCGTACCTTTCTAAAGTCATCACTTTTCTAAAATGCTCTGCTTCTTCTTTCTGAAATGATTCAACATAAAACTGCTTTACAATACATCATTGTTGATTTTGAATGTATTAACTATGAGGGAAATTGATTTTGCTTTTGCTTGCATGAATTGATGTGTCTTACGTATCCACAATGATATTACAATGTTTAAGTTGTTGGGAAACTAAAAACAAAACTAATTATAAAAGAGTTTAGCATGGAGGGGATTGAAACCTCTTCCTGTGTGTCCTGAGAATATTAAAAATATTCCTGTAAAACAACTGGATGTATGTGTGGAGGTGTTTAAGGAGTAGGGGCAGGTGATGGATGTTTACGAAGTTGTGACATTTGAAGCATTTTCGAAAAACAATGTCACGAATAAGTAAACAAAAGTTGACCACTTAGAACAAAATGTACATCCTGTTGTTGTGTGTTATCTCACTGAGGAGAGACTGCCTCTCCACAGTTATATCTGTGTAATGCTGATGATGGCTCTTTCTTGCAAGCAATAAAGATCTACTGACAATATGATTATTGTGTTGTCTGGTGTTTGAGTGCCAACTCTCATCTGACAAGAGCTGATTTTTCACGACAAATAACAGATAGAGATCAAGATATTTGTTGTTTGGAAAGAGATGAATGTTCTTTCTAAAGAGATAATATATGATGAATAGATATAATAATAATAATAGATATTGGCTTGCAGAAATGGTTCATTTAAAAAAAGGTAAAAAAAAATCCCATTTACACAAACCTTATCATGGATTCAGTTATTTAACTTCACTGTGATCAAATATTGCGTTTCAAAACCTGCTCATGGTGTGAGTTGTGATTACATAGACTGGGAAACACTTTAGCCGATTTTTAACAAGTGCATGGAGGAGGAAAATAATATTCATACATAGGCATCTTTAGAAAATGATTGAGGAACGTACAGAATCTAACAGAACAAAAAAGTACAGTGACATTGTAAAGTGCTGTCTCTTAATGTTACTGAATTAAGCAAAAAGTGTC